GCACGCTTGCTGGAAGTCCAAGCCCCTTACCCACAAAACCTCCTTTACCCCCTCTCTCCAACCCTTTCGAGGACGACCCCTAGCCCGCCTTCCTTCCCCTATAGATTTATATGCTTTCCATGTCATTCTACTTTGATCCATTCTCTCTAAATGACCAAACCACCTCAACAACCCCTCTTCTGCCCTCTGACTAATACTTTTATTAACTCCACACCTTCTCCTAATTTCCACACTCCGAATTTTCTGCATAATATTTACACCACACATTGCCTTTAAACAGGACATCTCCACTGCCTCCAACCGTCTCCTCGCTGCTGCATTTACCACCCAAGCTTCACACCCATAAGAGTGTTGGTACTACTATACTTTCATACATTCCCTTCTTTGCCTCCATAGATAACGTTTTTTGACTCCACATATACCTCAACGCACCACTCACCTTTTTTCCCTCATCAATTCTATGATTAACCTCATCCTTCATAAATCCATCCGCCGACACGTCAACTCCCAAGTATCTGAAAACATTCACTTCTTCCATACTCCTCCTCCCCAATTTGATATCCAATTTTTCTTTATCTAAATCATTTGACACCCTCATCACCTTACTCTTTTCTATGTTCACTTTCAACTTTCTACCTTTACACACATTCCCAAACTCATCCACTAACCTTTGCAATTTTTCTTTAGAATCTCCCATAAGCACAGTATCATCAGCAAAAAGTAACTGTGTTAATTCCCATTTTGAATTTGATTCCCCATAATTTAATCCCACCCCTCTCCCAAACACCCTAGCATTTACTTCCATTACAACCCCATCTATAAATATATTAAACAACCATGGTGACATTACACATCCCTGTCTAAGACCTACTTTTACCGGGACGTAGTCTCCCTCTCTTCTACACACCCTAACCTGAGCCTCACTATCCTCATAAAAACTCTTTACAGCATTTAATAACTTACCACCTATTCCATATACTTGCAACATCTGCCACATTGCTCCTCTACATTTATTTATACACACTCATCTGAGTTTTCTTTGATTTTATCTTAATAGTTCTTGGTCTTATTAATTTTCCTTTTATATCCATGGGGAAGTGGAATAAGAATCTTTCCTCCGTAAGCCATGCGTGTTGTAAAAGTCAACTAAAATGCCGGGAACAATGGGCTAGTAACCCCTTTTCCTGTAAAGATTACTAAAAAGAATAAGAAGAAGAAAATTGTCAAAGTGGGAAGTCTGAATGTGCGTGGATGTTGTGCAGATGATAAGAAAGAGATGATTGTGGATGTTATGAATGAGAAGAAGCTGGATGTCCTGGCTTTAAGTGAAACAAAGCTGAAGGGGGTGGGAGAGTTTCAGTGGAGAGGAATAAATGGGATTAGGTCAGGGGTTTCAAATAGAGTTAGAGCTAAAGAAGGAGTAGCAATAATGTTGAAGGATAAGCTATGGCAGGAAAAGAGGGACTATAAATGTATTAATTCAAGGATTATGTGGAGTAAAATAAAGATTGGATGTGAAAAGTGGGTTATAATAAGCGTGTATGCACCTGGAGAAGAGAGAAGTGTAGAGGAGAGAGAGAAATTTTGGGAAATGTTGAGTGAATGCGTGGGGAGTTTTGAATCAAGTGTGAGAGTAATGGTGGTTGGGGATTTCAATGCTAAAGTGGGTAAAAATGTTATGGAGGGAGTAGTAGGTAAATTTGGGGTGCCAGGGGTAAATGTAAATGGGGAGCCTTTAATTGAGCTATGTGTAGAAAGAAATTTGGTAATAAGTAATACATATTTTATGAAAAAGAGGATAAATAAATATATAAGGTATGATGTAGCACGTAATGAAAGTAGTTTATTAGATTATGTATTGGTGGATAAAAGGTTGATGGGTAGGCTCCAGGATGTACATGTTTATAGAGGGGCAACTGATATATCGGATCATTATTTAGTTGTAGCTACAGTTAGAGTAAGAGGTAGATGGGAAAAGAGGAAGGTGGCAACAACAAGTAAGAGGGAGGTGAAAGTGTATAAACTAAGGGAGGAGGAAGTTCGGGTGAGATATAAGCGACTATTGGCAGAAAGGTGGGCTAGTGCAAAGATGAGTAGTGGGGGGGGTTGAAGAGGGTTGGAATAGTTTTAAAAATGCAGTATTAGAATGTGGGGCAGAAGTTTGTGGTTATAGGAGGGTGGGGGCAGGAGGAAAGAGGAGTGATTGGTGGAATGATGAAGTAAAGGGTGTGATAAAAGAGAAAAAGGTAGCTTATGAGAGGTTTTTACAAAGCAGAAGTGCTATAAGAAGAGCAGAGTATATGGAGAGTAAAAGAAAGGTAAAGAGAGTGGTGAGAGAGTGCAAAAGGAGAGCAGATGATAGAGTGGGAGAGGCACTGTCAAGAAATTTTAATGAAAATAAGAAAAATTTTTGGAGTGAGTTAAACAAGTTAAGAAAGCCTAGGGAAAGTATTAATTTGTCAGTTAAAAACAGAGTAGGGGAGTTAGTAGATGGGGAGATGGAGGTATTAGGTAGATGGCGAGAATATTTTGAGGAACTTTTAAATGTTAAGGAAGAAACAGAAGCAGTAATTTCATGCACTGGTCAGGGAGGTATACCATCTTTTAGGAGTGAAGAAGAGCAGAATGTAAGTGTGGGGGAGGTACGTGAGGCATTACGTAAAATGAAAGGGGGTAAAGTAGCTGGAACTGATGGGATCATGACAGAAATGTTAAAAGCAGGGGGGGATAGAGTGTTGGAGTGGTTGGTACTTTTGTTTAATAAATGTATGAAAGAGGGGAAGGTACCTAGGGATTGGCAGAGAGCATGTATAGTCCCTTTATATAAAGGGAAAGGGGACAAAAGAGACTGTAAAAATTATCGAGGAATAAGCTTACTGAGTATACCAGGAAAAGTGTACGGTAGGGTTATAATTGAAAGAATTAGAGGTAAGACAGAATGTAGGATTGCGGATGAGCAAGGAGGTTTCAGAGTGGGTAGGGGATGTGTAGATCAAGTGTTTACATTGAAGCATATATGTGAACAGTATTTAGATAAAGGTAGGGAAGTTTTTATTGCATTTATGGATTTAGAAAAGGCATATTATAGAGTGGATAGAGGAGCAATGTGGCAGATGTTGCAAGTATATGGAATAGGTGGTAAGTTATTAAATGCTGTAAAGAGTTTTTATGAGGATAGTGAGGCACAGGTTAGGGTGTGTAGAAGAGAGGGAGACTACTTCCCGGTAAAAGTAGGTCTTAGACAGGGATGTGTAATGTCACCATGGTTGTTTAATATATTTATAGATGGGGTTGTAAAGGAAGTAAATGCTAGGGTGTTCGGGAGAGGGGTGGGATTAAATTTTGGGGAATCAAATTCAAAATGGGAATTGACACAGTTACTTTTTGCTGATGATACTGTGCTTATGGGAGATTCTAAAGAAAAATTGCAAAGGTTAGTGGATGAGTTTGGGAATGTGTGTAAATGTAGAAAGTTGAAAGTGAACATAGAAAAGAGTAAGGTGATGAGGGTGTCAAATGATTTAGATAAAGAAAAATTGGATATCAAATTGGGGAGGAGGAGTATGGAAGAAGTGAATGTTTTCAGATACTTGGGAGTTGACGTGTCGGCGGATGGATTTATGAAGGATGAGGTTAATCATAGAATTGATGAGGGAAAAAAGGTGAGTGGTGCTTTGAGTTATATGTGGAGTCAAAAAACGTTATCTATGGAGGCAAAGAAGGGAATGTATGAAAGTATAGTAGTACCAACACTTATATGGGTGTGAAGCTTGGGTGGTAAATGCAGCAGCGAGGAGATGGTTGGAGGCAGTGGAGATGTCCTGTTTAAGGGCAATGTGTGGTGTAAATATGCAGAAAATTGGGAGTGTGGAAATTAGGAGAAGGTGTGGAGTTAATAAAAGTATTAGTCAGAGGGCAGAAGAGGGGTTGTTGAGGTGGTTTGGTCATTTAGAGAGAATGGATCAAAGTAGAATGACATGGAAAGCATATAAATCTATAGGGGAAGGAAGGCGGGGTAGGGGTCGTCCTCGAAAGGGTTGGAGAGAGGGGGTAAAGGAGGTTTTGTGGGCAAGGGGCTTGGACTTCCAGCAAGCGTGCGTGAGCGTGTTAGATAGGAGTGAATGGAGACGAATGGTACTTGGGACCTGACGATCTGTTGGAGTGTGAGCAGGGTAATATTTAGTGAAGGGATTCAGGGAAACCGGTTATTTTCATATAGTCGGACTTGAGTCCTGGAAATGTGGAAGTACAATGCCTGCACTTTAAAGGAGGGGTTTGGGATATTGGCAGTTTGGAGGGATATGTTGTGTATCTTTATATGTGTATGCTTCTAGACTGTTGTATTCTGAGCACCTCTGCAAAAACAGTGATAATGTGCGAGTGTGGTGAAAGTGTTGAATGATGATGAAAGTATTTTCTTTTTGGGGATTTTCTTTCTTTTTTGGGTCACCCTGCCTCGGTGGGAGACGGCCGACTTGTTGAAAAAAAAAAAAAAAAAAACATGTATGTGTAGTGTGACCTAAGTGTAAGTAGAAGTAGCAAGATGTACTTGAAATCTTGCATGTTTGAGACAGAAAAATGGACACCAGCAATCCTATCATCATGTAAAACAATTACAGGCTTTAGTTTTACACTCACTTGGCAGGACGGTAGTACCTCCCTGGGCGGTTGCTGTCTACCAACCTACTACCTAGAACTGGTATAATTATTATTATTGTTGTTATTATTCTTAGCTGTCTTTCCAGAATTATTCAGACATCACATTTGAAATGACCCTCTTGTAAATGCATATTTAGAATAATTTTAGACCTCGTCAAACACCCTTGATCTTATGTGTGTGGGCTAGAGAAAGTATTGAAGATGCTGATATATGGCTGAGTTTCTTAATTAGAGTTTTGGAGAAGATTGTATCACATCACAACACTGGTATTGTACTGCATTTTAAATTAATTTTTCACAAATAACATTGAAACTATGGATCACTTTTTTAATTTCATTAGCCCGTGGGTATCAGAATTCGCCAGACCTTCGATTAACATGGCTTGCCAACATGGCCCAGAAACACAGTGAAAGAGGACAGCATGCTGAAGCTGCCATGTGCCTCATTCACAGTGCTGCTTTGGTCTCGGAATACCTGTACATGTTAGAGGATTGTCCTCACTTACCTACTGGGGCTGTAACTTTCTGCAAGCTTTCACCCAATGTGCTAGAAGAAAGTGCTGGTAAGATATGTGTATTCTTAAATAATTTGCTTGCTTTAATACTTGTTGACCTAATTTCTTTTTAGCATGAAATATTATCACCTGAAATATGAATAATATACTTTTACCTTATGCTGAATGACTTAACAATTGTAAATCAGATTTTTCTTACATACTTAATTTGTAATTCTGCAATATTGAAAGAAGCTCTACAATAATTTCTCATTTGCCATTCATAATGAAGGCATTCTATGAGAGCCTTAAAAATGGAATAAAACATTTTTTTTTTCAACACTTCTGCCATCTCCCACCAAGGCAGGGTGATCCAAGAAAAGAAACACTTTCACCATCATTTACACACATTCATTGTAAGACATATGCTTACAAATAGAAGATGCATTTGCAGTTCTTGAGTATCTATATTGCTGAAATGTTTTGCATGCACAACAGGCTTTTTCAGTTGAATACAGGCAAATGTGACACTAGACAGTTGAGGTACAGTAGCAGTTTTGACAAGATCATTCCATGAGCCTTGGTAGGAGGTCAGTTCCTCAGGCCCCAGTTGTTGCACATGCCTCTTATTCATCAGTTTTTTGGTAACATATACCATCAGTAATCTAACCCTTACAAATATCAAAATTTTGAAAAGCAAGACAGTAATAAATGGGAATAAATGGTTCCAAGTTGAGTTTGCAGAAGGCCCCCCCCTACTGAGATATTATTTTAGCAGTAAATAAATATACAGTGGAACCCCGAATATCGGCCAGTTTTGGGCAGGAATTTTGCTCCGTATTTCGGCCGGTGCTTCGTAAATCGTTCATATTATACGCGTCAACCCGCCTCCTGCCGGGACACCGTGCGTAGGTGAGTCAGTCTCCCTGTGTCTTTTGGTGAATGAGCATTCATTCAAACATTTCTGTAAAATCCATTGGATTTTGTGCTTGTTTATTAAGTGCGACTGTGAGATAAGCCATCATGGGCCCAAAGAAAGTTCTGAGTCCTAGCCCTTTGGCAAAGAAAGTGAGAAACACGATGGAATTTAAGAAAGAAGTTATTGGAAAATATGAGAGTGGTGTGCAGGTGCTGGAACTTGCCAGAATGTATGGGAAATCCAAATCAACAATTACTTCTATCCTGGCAAAGAAAAAACAAATCAAGGAAGCTGATGTGGCAAAAAGGGTAAACATGTTAACGAAAAAGAGATCACAGTAAAGAAAATGTCTGGAACTAGTGCTGATGTTAGTGAATTTAAGGCTGGTTTGACAAATTTAAGAAGCATAGTGGCATACACAGTGTTGTAAGGCATGGTGAGACTGAAAGTTCAGACAAATATGTGGCTGAAAAATTTGTGCAGGAATTCAAGGGGTACATAGAGACTGAAGAATTCCAAGCCCAACAAGTGTTTAATTGTGACGAAAAAAACCTCTTTTGGAAGAAAATGCCAAAGAGGACCTACATCACGCAGGAGGAAAAGGCACTGCCAGGGCATAAGCCTATGAAGGATAGGGTAACTCTCTTGTTCTGTGCTAATGCTAGTGGGGATTTCAAAGTGAAACTTATACTGGTGTATCACTCTGAAAATCCTAGTGTGTTCAAGAAAAACAGTGTTGTCAAGAATAGATTGTGTATGATGTGGAGGGCTGACTATAAGGCATGGGTCACAAGGCAAATTTTAGTTGACTGGATCCATGAAGTGTTTGGCCCAAGTGTGAAAAAATACCTCCAGGAAAATAAATGCCACTGAAGTGCCTCCTGGTAATGGACAATGCTCCTGCTCATCCTCCAAACTTGGTAGACCAATTGTCTAGGGATTTCAGTTTTATAACAGTGAAGTTCTTGCCTCTTAACACCACCACTCTCATCCAGCCCATGGACCAACAGGTCATTTCTTACTTCAAAAAACTCTACACAAAAGCAGTGTTTCAAAGGTGCTTTGAAGGGACCTCGGACACTGAATTGACCCCAAGAGAGTTCTGGAGGAATCACTTCAGTATCTACAACTGCATAAGCCTTATAGGTAAGGCTTGGCAGGAAGTGACTTCCAGGACTTTGAACTCTTCTTGGAGAAAATTGTGGCCAGAATGTGTCCTTGAGAAAGATTTTGAAGGGTTTGAGGCTGACCCTGACGACCCTACGCCTGTTGTGGAATCTATTGTGTCTTTGGGGAAGTCCATGGGGTTGGATGTGAGCGATGAGGATGTGGAAGAGTTTGTGGAGGACCACAGGGAAGAGCTAATCACTGAAGAGCTACGGCACCTTCAACTGGAACAGCAACAGACCACAGCTGAGGAATTTGCTTCAGAGGAGGAGGAAGAGAGAGGGAAGGAGCTGCCTTCTTCAGAGATTAAGGAGATTTGTGCAATGCAGAGTAGGGTGCAAGCTTTTGCTGAGAAATATCACCCTGACCAAGCTGAAACAAGCCATATCTGCAACATGTTCAGTGACAAAACCTTGGCCCACGTCAGGCAAATCTTTAAGAGGCACCAGAAACAGCTCTCTGGACAGATATTTTGTGCGACAGGGGTCCAGTGACTCTAAAGCTGGTCCTAGTGCTATTAAAAGACAAAGAAGGGAAGTAACCCAGGAGAGGGACTTGTTACCTGAAGCCATTATGGAGGGGGATTTCCCTTCGAAACAACCCCAGCTCCCTCTCCCCTCCTCGCCTTCTTCCATTTGCCAATAAGAGTCTTCAAAAAAGGTATGTAATGTTTATATTTATTTATATTCATTTATCATTGTTTTGTGTATGTAAAACTATAATTAAAATTTGCAAAAATTTTTTTATTATTATTATTTTTGGGTGTCTGGAATGGATTAATTGTATTTACATTACTTCTTATGGGAAATATCGCTTCGAATTTAGGCCGTTTCGAATTTAGACCGACCTTCTGGAACAGATTATGGCCGATATTCGGGGTTCCACTGTACTATTTGTTAATTATAAGGTTCTAAAGGATCTCAAGTTTTGAATTACATTGTTATTTCATTGTTAAGATAAAGGGCAAGATCAAGTGAGAGGACAGGCATGTAACAAGTAAATGAGACTGTGAATTATACAGTTTAGGCAAAAAGAGAGATCAGGCATAAAGACAGGCACAAGATCAACAACTAATGCCTGGTCTACACAACTTCCTTCCCTTTTTAAAAACATTGTTCTTCTGCAATCCTACTTTCTGGATTTCTCCTCTCTTTTTAATATTTTTTTTAACACATTAGCCTTCTCTCACCAAGGCAGGGTGACCCCCCAAAAAAAAAAAAAAATGCTTTCACCATCACTCACACTGTCACTGTCTTGGCAGAAGGACACAGATATGACAATTCAGATGTTCCTCCAAACACCATATATCCCAAACCCCTCCTTTACCTTTAGAGTGCAGGTACTGTAATTCCCATCTCCATGACTTAGGTCTGGCTAACTGGTTTCCCTGAATCCCTTCACAAAGCATGACCTTGCTCACACTAGTAGTTCATCAGGTCCCCAAAACCATTTGTATCCACTCCTAACACACTCACACATGACTGTTGTATTTCCAAGCCACTTCCACACAAAAACCTTCATTACCTCCTTCCTCCAGCCTTTCCTAGGTCAACCCCTACCCCACCTTACAGATTTATACATCCTCCAAGTCATCCTGTTTTGCTCCAGCCTCTCTAAATGACCAAACCACCTCAACAACCCCTCCTCAGCATTCTGGATAATACTTAGTAACTCCTCATCTTCTCCTAATCTCCAAATTACGAATTCTCTGCATAATATTTACACCACACATTGCCCTCAGACATAACATTTCCACTGCCTCCAGCCATCTCCTAGCTACAGTATTTAAAATCCATACTTCACACCCATATAAGAGTTTTCATATCAATGTACTCTCATACTTTCTCTTCAATTTTATATAAATAATGTATTTGGTTGTTTTCTTGTTATAAGTATCCATGTGATAATTTGGTGAACATAAAGGACTAATTTTAGCCCCAATTCATATGAGATAATTCTTTTGGCAGTGTCTGATGATGTGCTTAGCCCAGATGAGGAAGGAATTTGTACTGGCAAATACTTTACAGAAAATGGGCTTGTAGGTCTTTTGGAGCAAGCCAGCTCATCACTCCACCAGGTAAATATTATTTTAACAGCTATCTTTTTAAAGTGTTAAATGACTCCCATATTAGTATTAATGAACTCATGTGGTGTATAATGAATTGCAAAAATAGACCATATTTTTGAACATTTCTTCAGATTAAAAGATCTTCTTTCAACAAACTGGCCATATCCCACTGAAGCAGGATGGCCCAAAAAAGAAAAACAAGTTTCTCTTTTTACCTTTAGTACTTTAGTAATGTATACAGGAGAAAGGGTTACTAGCCCCTCCACTCGGCATTTTAATCACCTCTACTGCACGCATGGCTTATGGAGGAAGAATTCTGTTCCACTTCCCCATGGAGATAAGAGGAAAAAACAAGAACAAGAACTAGTAAGAAAATAGAAGAAAACCCAGTGGGGTGTGTGTATATATATATATATATATTTTTTTTTTTTTTTTTTTTTTTCAACAAGTCGGCCGTCTCCCACCGAGGCAGGGTGACCCAAAAAAGAAAGAAAATCCCCAAAAAGAAAATACTTTCATCATCATTCAACACTTTCACCACACTCGCACATTATCACTGTTTTTGCAGAGGTGCTCAGAATACAACAGTCTAGAAGCATAAACATATAAAGATACACAACATATCCCTCCAAACTGCCAATATATATATATATATATATATATATATATATATATATATATAATATATATATATATATATATATATATATATGCTTGTACATGCACGTGTAGTGTGATGTAAGTGTAAGTAGAAGTAGCAAGATGTATATGAAATCTTGCATGTTTATGAGACAGAAAAAAAGACACTAGCAATCCTACCATTATGTAAAACAGTTACAGGCTTCTGTTTTACACTCACTCGGCAGGACGGTAGTACCTCCCTGGGCATTTGCTGTCTACCAACCTACTACCTAGGGATATAAAAGATCACTTCATATACATATTTCTCTACTCCATTCTTCTACCAAGACTTTCATACACTGTCTTTCTGTTTGTATTTCCATTTATTTTAAAATTATGAATGCTCTTAGAATCATTTAACTTTCAGACTTGGTTATGTCTTACTATAACTACTAATATTTATTTACAGTACATTCTTGATGATCTTCACTCCTAAATGCTCAATGATAATTTAAAATTCCTCTCATGTATATGTATTGGTAGCTTTCTTAGTTTCATGTACTATATCTCTTCTTAATTTGTGTAACAGCACTGGCTTCATACTGTCATTAGACACTGAAAATAACAGTGGTAAAAGTGTCTCTACATTCAGAGATATTTAGAATATTGGTTTTCCCGCTTTGCATATGATCACTACTTTCATCATTGATTTTAGTATTGTCTAAAAACTTAACATTCTCTCAAAGCCCTATAACTTTGCATTGACTTTACCCATTTATAGCATTATCGTTGTCCTCAAAAGGCAGTACTGTATATATTGTAATGGCATTTGATTTTATTGGTTGAAAGAGTACCATATCTATGTGCCTCTGGCAAGACAGTGATAGTGTGAGTGATGGGGAAAGTGTTTCTTTTTCGGGCCACCCTGCCTTGGTAAGAGACAACCAGCGTGTTTAAAAGGAAATACTCTACCATCTGTATTCACAAATCAGGCAGTTGATATAAAGATGAGAAAAATCAAGGGTGTGATTACATCATACTTTGACTTGGAATTATTTTTATTGTATACACATTGAAACTTGTTTGGCTTTAGTAGCTCACTGTATTTTGAAAAATTTAATATCAACTCCCTCTTAAACTGTTATTCATTGAGCTTAATGTCATTTGCTAATAGCACATGAAATTTTGGAAAGTTTCCAGACAATTGATAGATGCTGAGCTCACGGAGGTTGTAAACAGAGTGGCACTTCGACGCCAGGGTAGTGAATCAGGGAGCCATATAAATAAATTTTTGGTTGTAATTTGAGATGTCTATATTAGCGAATTGCTGTAAAGCGAAGTGCCATAAAATGGGGCCCTCCCTTACATGTGCTAACAGCTCGTGACACGCATATGACAGCACATGACAAATGATCCCCAGAACTAACAGTCGTTAGTTACACTTGTCAAATACCTTCACGCTTTCCTTATACAAAATACTATAGTTCTTTTGTTTATTTTCTGTTACTGCTAAAAAATTTTTGCAATATTGAAATGTGAAGTGTGATCTATACACTTTGAAGCTGTGGCTCCATGGATTGTGCACTTATTCATGATATTTCACTACAGCCTTTCCTCACTTAGCGATGTACTACTCGTTTACCGATGACTCAGACTTATGATGGGCTCTCAGACCAGTATACGTACCTAAATAATGTATATTCGAGCTGATTTCCTCTATTCTGTTTATTACAATATACAGTAAACTACTGTATAAATATTTAAAAATATGCCAGAAATGTTATAAATTCTGCAAAGGTGACATTAAAACAATACCAAAGATGGTTGACACAAACCCAGTACCATTATAGTTTGCTTCTCACTTAGAGACACATACGTTTACCGATGTGTTCTTAGGAGCGGAACTCTGTCATTAAGTGAGGAGAGGCTGTATTAGTAATATGTATTTGTAATATTTTAACCAAGCTTTCAGCTTTTATTTTAGTAAAGTTGTACTTTGAAAAAGTAGTGAACATCCAAGTGTTTTTGTGATTTCACACATTATCAAGCACCAGATAATGTGAGAAATCACGAAAACACTTGAAAGGTCACTTTTTTTTCACAGTGGTTGTTTGTATATTGTGATATCACCTGTTGACTGTGATCTTATTGATCATGGTATATGGTATATCATTCCAATAACTTAATATTGATATATTTCAGGCTGGAATGTTTGAGTGCCTTAATGAGGTGTATAAAATTCTTACTCCTATTGCTGAGAAAAATAGAGACTGGAAAAAGCTAATAAATATTTACTCTAAATTACAAGATGCATTTACCAAGATTGATGCATTAGAGGGAAGAAGAATGTTCGGAACTTACTTTCGTGTAGGTTTCTATGGTTCCAAATTTGGAGACCTTGATGGAGAGGAATATATATACAAAGAACCCATGTTGACCAAGCTGCCTGAGATCTCTCACAGATTAGAGGTAAAGTAAAATTACATATTTAACTTTTCTTTTAGAATTACTGTAATTTTTTTTGCCATTACACTAATCTCTCTTATATGGATAAGCTTCATAATGTTTAAGTTACATATTATGAATGATCTGTTGGTATACAGAGTGTTTTCTCTATTTTCTCTATGCTCAAAGTTGCAATAAAGATTCCATTAAATTTGATATTGAGGTTCAGTTCAGAAACTAAAAGAGGAGGCAGTTAGGGTAAGATAAACAGCTATTGGAGGATAGATGGGCTAATGAGAGCATAGGCAATGGGGTCGAAGAGGTATGGGGTAGGTTTAAAAATGTAGTGTTAGAGTGTTCAGCAGAAGTTTGTGGTTACAGGAAAGTGGGTGCAGGAGGGAAGAGGAGCGATTGGTGGAATGATGATGTAAAGAGAGTAGTAAGGGAGAAAAAGTTAGCATATGAGAAGTTTTTACAAAGTAGAAGTGATGCAAGGAGGAAAAGTATATGGGGAAAAGAGAGAGGTTTAAAAGAGTGGTGAAGCAATGTAAAAAGAGAGCAAATGAGAGAGTGGGTGAGATGTTATCAACAAATTTTGTTGAAAAAAAAGAAAAAGTTTTGGAGTGAGATTAACAAGTTAAGAAAGCCTAGAGAACAAATGGATTGTCAGTTAAAAATAGGAGAGAGAGTTATTAAATGGAGAGTTAGAGGGATTGGGAAGATGGAAGGAATATTTTGAGGAATTGTTAAATGTTGATAGATAGGGAAGCTGTGATTTCGTGTATAGGGCAAGGAGGAATAACATCTTGTAGGGGTAGGAAGAGCCAGTTGTGAGTGTGGGGGGAAATTCGTGAGGCAGTGGTAAAATGAAAGGGGGTAAGGCAGCCGGGGTTGAAGGGATAAAGATAGAAATGTTAAAAGCAGGTGGGGATATAGTTTTGGAGTGGTTGGTGCAATTGTATAATAAATGTATGGAAGAGGAAAGGTACCTAGGGATTGGCAGAGAGCCATGCATAGTTCCTTTTATGAAAGGCAAAGGATAAACGAGAGTGCAAAAATATAGGGGATCAGTCTGTTGAGTGTACCTGTAAAGTGTATGGTAGAGTTATAATTGAAAGAATTAAGAGTAAGAAGGAGAATAGATAGCAGATGAAACAAGGAGGCTTTAGGAAAGGTAGGGGTGTGTGGGCACCAGGTGCCTACAGTGAAACATATAAGAGAACAGTAATTTCGATACGGCTAAAGAGGACTTTGGTGGTCATTTATGGATTTGGGAAAAGGCGTATGACATGGTGGATAGGGTGCAATGTGCCGATGTTGCCAAGTGTAAATAGTGTATGAGGTAGGTTACTGAAAGCAGTGAAGAGTTTTTACGAGGAATCGTGAGGCTCAATTTAGAGTATGTAGGAAAGAGGTAAATTTGTTTCACCAGTAAATAGGCCCTAGACAAATGATGTGTGATCACCCCACCGGGTTGTTGTTAATATTTTTTATAGATGGGGTTGTAAGAGAAGTAAATGCGAGGGTCTTGGCAAGAGGCGTGGAGTTAAAGATATAGAATCACACACAAAGTGGAGTTGTCACAGCTGCTCTTTGCTGATACACCGGACTCTATGGAGATTCTGAAGAGAAGTGCGAGATTGGTTGAATGAATTGGGGTAGGGTGTGCAAAAAAGAAAAATTAAAGTGAATACTAGGAAAGAGTAAGGGTTATGAAGGAATAACAAAAGATTAGTGGATGAAAGATTGAATATCAGATAGGAGATAGAGTATGGAGGAGGTGAACGTATTGCAATATTTGGGAGTGACGTCACGGATGGGGTCTATGAAAGAGAGTTTGAAATCATAAGAATTGATGAGGAAAAAGAGTGAGTGGTGCACGTGAGGAGTCTGTGGGAACAAAGAACTTTGTCCTTGGAGGCAAAGAGGGGAATGTATGAGCTATAGTTTTTTACCAACGCACTTATATGGTGTGAGCGGGGTGATGAATTGTTTTGGGGTTTTTTTTCACAGCGAGGAGAAGGCTGGAGGCAGTGAGATGTCATGTCTGAGGGCAATGTGTGGTGTGAATATAATGCAGAGAAATCGAAGTTGAAGTTAGAGGAGGTGCGGATTACCTAAAACTGTTGTCCAGAGGGCTGAGGAAGGGATGTTGAGGTGGTACGGACATGTAAGAGAATGAGCGAAACAGAATGACTTCAAAGTGTACAGTCTGTAGTGGAAGAGAAGGCGGGGTAGGGTCGGCTAGGCAGTGTTGAGGGAGGGGGTAATGGAGGTTTTTGTGTGCGAGGGCTTGGACTTTCAGCAGGCATGCTTAGCGAGTTTGATAGGAGTGAATGGAGACAAATGGTTTTTTAATACTTGAGACGTGCTGTGAGTGTGACAAAGTAACATTTATGAAGGATTCAAGGAAACCGGCAGGCCCGAGACCTTGAGTCCTGGAGATGGGAAGTACAGTGCCTGCACTCTGAAGGGAGGGGGTGTTAATGTTGCAGTTTAAAAACGTAGTGTAAAGCAACCCTCTGGACAATACAGTGATGGAGTGAATGATGGTGAAAGTTTTTCACCTTTTTTTTCGGGCCCCCTGTCCTTGGTGGTAAATTCGGCCGTGTTGATAATAAAAAAAAAAAAAGGGGGGTGGGGGTTCAGACGAAAAAAATAAAAGCAACTTGGGAGACAGGTGGCTAGAGAGGGTAAAGGAAATTAGTAGGAGGCTGAGAGGTATGGGGAAAATTTAAGAATGTAGTGCTAGTGTGTGTGAAACAACCATTTGTGGGGTTTAAGACAATGGGGAAAAAATGATCCTATAATGATGAATTAAAGAGGGTGGGAAAGAAAGGTAAAAGCTAGCATAGAGGCTATTCTTCTTTCTTTCAACAAACTGGCCATGATCCCATTGAAGCAGGTGGCCCAAAAAGAAAAAACAAAGTGTTCTCCTTCTACTTCGTAAATGTATACAGGAGAAGGGGGTACTACTCCTGCTCTCGCATTTTAGTAAAAGCTTCTTACAACACACATGGGTTACGGAGAAGAATTCAGATGTTCCACTTTCCCATGGAGATAAGAGGAAAATAAACAAGGTATAGGGTATTTTTTTTTTTTTTGGTAGACAGCATCCACCCAGGAAGTACTTACCGTCCTGCCAATGACTGTGAAACAGAAACCTGTAACTGTTTTGCAAATGATGGTAGGATTGGCGGTTTATTTTTCAGACTCATAAAACACGCTAGATAACAGGATATCTTGCTACTCCTACTTACACTTTGGTCACACTTCGCATACACCACATGCAATATATATATACATGAACATCTAACAAGTTTTTTATTTCTCCTTTTTCTAAATAGCTCTTTGTTCTTCTTTATTTCTTCTGTTGTCCATGTGAATTGGAAAAGAATCTTTCCTCCGTAAAGCATGCGTGTCCCGTATGAGGCGACTAAAATGCCGGAGCAATGGCTAGTAACCCCTTCTCCAGTAGTACATTTACTAAAAAAAGAGAAGAAAAAACATAATAAAACTGGGGATGCTTGAATGTGCGTGGGATGAAGTGCAGAATGACAAGAAACAGATTATTGCGATGATTTATGATGAAAAGAGTTGGATGTCCTGCCCTAAGCGTAACCAAGCTGAGGGGGTCGGGGAGTTTCGTGGGGGGAAATAAATGGATTAAACTGAGTACTGAGAGAGATAGAGCAAAAGGAAGGGTAGCATAATGTTTGAATGATCATTATGGAAGGAGAAAAGAGCATATGAATGTTGTAAATTCAAGAATTATGTGGATTAAAGTAAAGGTTTGGATGCGAGAAAGTGGGTCATAAATGCGTGTAGCACCTGGAGAAGAGAGGAAGTGCGAGGAGAGAGAGAGATTTTGGGAGATGTTTAATTGAATGTATAGACCATTTGAACCAAGTGAGAGAGAGTAATTGTGGAAGGGGACCTGAATGCTAAAAGTAGGAGAAACTTGGTAGAAGGGGTGGTAGGTAAGTGTTGGGGTGGCCAGGTGTAAATGAATAATGGGAGCCACTTTGATTTGCGAACTTTGTATAGAACTGGGGTTTACTTATAGGTAATTACATATTTTTAAGAAAAAGAGGAATAAATAAGTAACAAATACGATGTAGGGTCGAAAGACAGTAGTTTGTTGATTATGTATTGGTAGATAGAGACATGTTGATAACTTCAGGAATGTACATGGTTATAAGGGGCCCCAGATATATCAGATCAACTTTCATAGTTGAGCTACACAGAAGAGTAAAAGGTAGATGGATACAAGAATAGGAAGCATCAGGAAGAGAGAGGGTGAAGGTTTATAAACCTAAAAGGAGGAGGCAGTTTAGGGTAAGAATAAACAGCTATAGGAGCTAGATGGGCTAAATGAGATCATAGGACAATGGGGTCGAAGAGGTATGGGGTAGGTTTTTAAAAATGTAGTGTTAGGAGTGTTCAGCAGAAGTTTGTGGTTACAGGAAGGTGGGTGCGGGAGGGAAGAGGACGATTGGTTGGAATATGACGTAAAAGAGAGTAGTAAGGGAGAAAAATGTTTGCAAATGAGAAGTATTTACAAAGTAGCAGTGATGCCAAGGAGGAAAGATAATGAGAAAAAGAGAGAGGTAAAGAGTGGTTGAAGCAATGTAATAAGAGAGCAAATGAAGAGTGGGTGAGATGTTGATCAACAAATTTTGTTGAAAATCAGAAAGTTTTTGGAGTGAGATTTAACAATTTAAGAAAGCCAGAGAACAAATGGGTTTGTCAGTTAAAAATAGGAGAGGAGAGTGTATTAAATGGAGAGTTAGAGTAATGGGAAGATGGAGGGAATAATTTATTAAGAGGAATTGTAAAATGTTGATTAATGATAGGAACTGTATTTCGTGTATAGGCATGGAGGAATAACATCTGTAGCGTGAGGAAAGCCATTGTGAGTGAGGTGGCAGTCGTGAGGCGTATGTAAAATTAAAGTGAGTGTAGGGCAGCCGGGATTGATGGGAATAAGATAGAAATGATTAAAAGCAGTGGGTAATAGTATT